ACTCTTCTTGTCTGTCTCGCCTCACTCTTCTTGTCTGTCTCACGTTACCTTACTCTTCTTGTCTGTCTCGCCTCACTCTTCTTGTCTGTCTCGCCTCACTCTTCTTGTCTGTCTCACGTTACCTTACTCTTCTTGTCTGTCTCGCCTCACTCTTCTTGTCTGTCTCGCCTCACTCTTCTTGCCTGTCTCGCCTCACTCTTCTTGCCTGTCTCGCCTCACTCGTCTTGTCTGTCTCGCCTCACTCGTCTTGTCTGTCTCACCTCACTCTTCTTGTCTATCTCACCTCACTCTTCTTGTCAGTCAGCTCGCCTCACTCTCCTCACTGAAGAAATGAAATCTGATCTGTGATGCGACTGTCGTTCGGCATGCTGCATTGAGCAGCCGCGTTCAATTTTTAATTGTAGTGTCTGTTCTTTTACTGAACTAAATGATTTTTATTTCTATAAAAAATCAAAATGACGGTGGGGGTCGGTGCTGCGGTGGACAAGTGACGTAACCGGTGTTACGGCTTAACACCGGTATCACCGTCAACACCGTCTATCGCGGCAAGGCTAAACTGAAGTCACAAACTCTAACCTGTTTCTTGTGGTTTCTTCTGGTTTTCTCGGTAAGGTCAGTCTCTTCCTGCCACATCATCTCCTGGAGCTCTGGCCACTGGAGTCCGGTCTGGTGTAGAAGCCGTTCCTGCTGCTGCACACACACACACACACACACACACATGTTGTGTTTCCATGTTTTATGGGAACATCCCATAGGCGTAATGGTTTTTATACTGTACAAACTGTATGTGCTATTGCCCTACACCAAACCTACCCCTAAACCTACCCCTTACAGGAAACTTTGTGCATTTTTACTTTCTCAAAAAAACTCTTTCTGTATGAGTTATAAGCTTGTTTCCTCATGGGGACCTCAAAAATGTCCCCACAAGGTCAAAATTTATTAGTATTTCTGTCCTTGTGGGGACATTTGGTCCCCATAACGTGATAAATACCAGGTACACACACACACACACACACACACCACAGCCGGTCAGACTGAGAACAAGCTTCTCCTCATGTCTAGACTTTCAGCAGATAACTGCATTCACCCTGGCATGCTGCTTCAACGCCATTAGGCTGATTTCCCTCCACTGCTTCAACAATTTGTAAAGGAAAGTGATAGTTTTGTAAAGAGATTCATATGTTTTGATTAATCTACACAAGTAATTTCAAGCACAAGCTCTCAGACCAAAAGCTTTCGAGAAACACATCCAACTAAAACATGTGTAGCGACTGACCCGACACACAAAACATCACCTGCAGAGCAAACAAACACTAAACGTGATAAAGCTACTGCAGAGTAAAACACAGAGCGTCAGTGAAACATTAGCACTCATTTGATATATGTGTCCCTGCAGCACAAAAGCAGTGATAAGTCGCTGGGATATATTTGTAGCAATAGCCAACAATACACTGTATGGGTCAAAATTATCCTTTTTTTAATGCTAAAAATCATTAGGATATTAAGTAAAGATCATGTTCCATGAAGATATTTTGTAAATGTCCTACTGTAAATATATCAAAACTTAATGTTTGATTAGTAATATGCATTGCTAAGAACTTCATTTGAACAACTTTAAAGATGATTTTCTCAATATTTAGATTTTTTTGCACCCTCAGATTCCAGATATTCAAATAGTTGTATCTCAGCCAAATATTGTCCTATCCTAGCAAACCGTACATCAACGGAAAGCTTGTCTATTCAGCTTTCAGATGATGCATAAATCTCAATTTCGAAAAATTGCCCCTCATGACTGGTTTTGTGCTCCAGGGTCTGAAGTAAGTATCCATACGTCTTCGAGGCGGCGGCGCTCCTCCTGCTGCTGCTGGATCCTCTTGTTTCTGTCGGCCAGCAGCTGTCTCTTGTAGTTGTCCTGGCTGTGTGTTTGCTGGAGCAGGTGTGTTTGTGTGTTTGTCTCCTGCTGCAGACGCAGGAACTCCCGTCTCAACATGGACTCTCCGGGAAGATTGACTATAGAGCTGTGTGAGCACAAACACAAGAGCCACGGTCAGTTCTCAAGCCATCTGCCATATGGAGACACGCTCGCTGACATCTGCTCATCACTCAGAGACAAGAGCGAGGCCATTCATGCTTACATAACATCTTCAGCTTCATTTGAATACATTGGTTTATTCTGATTTACCTTTCGGTCGCTGTGGCACAAACGTCATCGAGCTGCCTGCTGATCATAAGCCAGCTTCACTCTCAGTGATGCACTGGTTCACTAATTCAGATCTCACCTCTCAGGTTTAACATGCAATCCAAACTGATTCATTGTCCTAATGCACTTTCCTGGTCTGATTATTATCAGTCCAAAGCAGGGCTAAAACGGCAAGTCGACATTATTAACAACGTCGACATTAAAAAATTGTCAAGAAATATTTTTGTTGTCGAGTAGTCGTTTGATCTCATATGATCTCATGTAAGAGCCTGCAATAAAGCGGTTTGACCAGAGTGGCGTGCTGTAGACCAAGACTGTAATTCAGAGAAGACACACACACTTTAGAGCAAACGCAGCCGAACCTGAAGCTGCGGAGTGGTATTTGGATAAATATGTAAATATATGTTACGCTTTCCTCTCGATAACGAAATAAACACAACAAAAACTGACCACGTTGAGAAAGCAGCAGTTAAGAAAGCATCTGATTACAGCGATGTGGACGTTTGTTAGGTACTCCAGTAAAGTCCAGTCGTATCACGTTTATTTATATAGTACTTTATGCAATAGATAGCCTTAAATCAAGCAGCTTTACAGTATTAAAAATAAAAAACCAGAGTCAGTGTCGCTTTCAGTTAGAATTACAACTTGATTTTCTGTTATAAATCAGCTCTCCAGTGTGGAGCTAGCTAATGATAAAATCTGTTTATTGTTTATTGGGGGAAAAATATTATTTTATTAAAGTGATAGTTTGGTTTGCGGAGATCAAAGCTTGATCTAGCTCAGGACTGTTTTGATTATTATAACCCTATAAAGTATTTTAACTCTTTCCCTGCCAAACACTGATTTTTCTGTGTTCTCGCTGTTATACGCTAGGGGGCGCTATTACGCATCTCCTGAATGAGTCTAGAAAGTGCCGATCAAAAACACAGGTGATGAAGCCGCAGAAATGAGTGATCTCAAATGTAAGCAGATGCATATGATAAAATAACGTGATCATTAACACTAACCACATATAAATGAAAACCGCCTAATGTTAGCGAGTGAAATGTGGATGCAGAAAGTGTTATAGACCTGTGCAAGCTTTGGGAGGACTGATGAAAGCCATCGTATTGTAATTACATAATATGATTTTCAAAAGCTGAAGTGATTATCTTTATTTATTTGTTAGAATATGTATAACTCAGTATTTAACTAATTTCAAAAGCTGAATAATCACGCAAAGTCTACGATTAAGCTGTGAAAATAATTGACGGTTAGTTGATTAATCGTTCAAATAATCGTTAGATTAATCGATTATCAAAATAATAGTTTGCTGCAGCCCTAGTCCAAAGAAAGACGTGACCGAACAGCCCTGAGCAGGGTGAGGAACACTTCCTGTTTTATTCGAGCTTTATCCATGTAGCTGGTACATCACTCCAGCTAACTCAAATTCATAAATGTTCATATTTAGTCATTATGTTCTTTGTAGCTAGTCTAGAACTGTTACTACTGTTTATGCCGACTCTACAGTCTGAACTGAGAAAGGACGGGAAGTAAAGATGTTTCAAAGCCTCTATTAAGGTTTCATATAGAGATTGGTGTGGTAACACATACCTGGGTTCACCTTCATCTTCATTCATGGCATCTTCTTCATCTTCACTGCCACTGTATTCATATTCCGTCCCCTCTGTTCACAGTGATCATAAATAGTTTGAGGCTAATTAGGCCAAACCAAGAGCAAACTACACTACCATCTGAACAGTGGATGTGTTTGGATGTAATTTTAATGTTCATCTTCTCAAACCACAGAGCATCCGTTCATCACCTTTCTCTCGCCTCCTCTTCCTGGTCCTGTCCAGGTGGTCTTTGAGCGTGATGCGCACCTGTCGCTCATTGGGAAGGTCTTTAATGAAGGAGTGGCGCAGGAGCGTCTCTGTGGACGGCCGGTGGAGGTAGTTCTTCACCAGACAGCTGTCTACAAACGTCTGAAACTTCTTAGACCTTCAGGAGCAGTGAAACACAGGTCAGTTATTTTTTACAATCGCTCGGACACATTTCTCAATGCTTCCGTCACTTTCTCAAAACTCCTCACACCGAGCACAGCATCAGTCTCTGTGGGCTAAACTGTAAAGCGTCATTTATCATTGCTTTGGCACAAAATGCATTCATTGACCACATCTGTCAAATTACATGAATTATTTTCTCACTTTGATAACAAACACCATAAAACCTTTATGTGCTACACAAGCCAATTTGCACGTTTGCATGCTGTTTTCAAAACTCAGTTCAAAACCTAGCACAGTACAAAAATGACTAAGACAGAAATCTGCAACATTTCTACAGTAATATCATATAGAAAAAATATTCTGAATGTAAAAAATCAAATACTTTCGAAGCACTTGCATGTAGCTGAACGTCTTCACAAGTGCTAGTCTTTCACACTTTCATCACCATCCACACAAAAGGGGAAAACTTAGGAATAATTTTGTACTGCAATGTAAACGTGGAACACCTAACATATAGTGCAGTGAATTATAAAACAGTAGAGAGTATAATTATTGTTTTGTACAGGAATTTTACAAAAGAAAACTTGCTTGTTAGTGTTTATTAGGTTGTTGTGTTATGAGAGATAAAGTGTGTTGTTTTTGCTAGAGTTGATTTGAGGCATTAATGAAGTGTTTTGGTAATTTTAGTGCATTTTGAATGTGAAATGAACTGCTGTGTAAAGTTGAAAATGGTTAGGAGAACTGTGTGAAGAGTTTTGAAAAAATAACTTTAGAATTGAGAAATGTGTCCTAGCGATTGTAACGAATGTCTCGGTGGTTCCCCTTCTAGGGAACTCGAGCTGCGTCCTCTAGTGAACACTATGGGGTGTCTGAAGCACGTGTAAAACAGCTTCACTCTAATTGGCCCACGTAGCCTGTGACATCACAGATGGGCGCCCGGAAGTATACATCAATTGCATTTCAATGTTAAAGAGGTGTACAGCGGTATGCGCACATCATCATGTTATGTTATGCTATATCATTAGGAAACTCTATTCATAATAAACTCTATGGCTGTGTGGCAGGTCTGGCTGTAATAAACGGCATTCTCTCACCATTTCTTGGACTTGAGTTTGGGAGGAGGGTTTCGTGGAATGAGGAACAGCGCTCTCATGGGATGCATGTCACACAAGGCTGCAGAGAAATACAGGAATCACACACAAACACTGGATCATATGTAACTTTTATAGAGTGTTTCTGAGTATGTAAACTCACGTGGCGCTCCCTCGGCCATCTCTAAAGCGGTGATTCCCAGAGACCACACGTCGCTCTGAAACATGCGTTATCACAGTCACTGATGGAAACATGTTCACTCACTGATGTAGAGTAATCTACTCACCCTGTAGTCATATGTGGAGTCAGGGTTTTCATCGCACGCGATCACCTCCGGCGCCATCCAGTACGGCGTCCCGATGAACGTGTTTCTTCTGCCAATCGTTCGGTCTAACTGAGCGCTGACGCCAAAATCCACTGGAAAAACACATACATCAACAGTGTCTCCTGCCATATATATACCAGCATATGATACAGGGCGATTCTTCTGTACATGCATATTGCGCTGTGCTTAAAAAAAAAACATGTATTTTAGTGGATTCTCATTTTTGTGTAGTTTAAATATTAAAATAACAACAAAAAAAGACAAAAACAGAATGAATATACTAAAACTTTAAAGCTGCAGTCTGTAAGTTTTGCCTCTTTGTCGCCATCTCTGTTTGAAACCTGCAATTGCAGCTGTTTGTGGAATTATCTTCATTACGTGGGTTGTGCACCGGCGCGGATGAATCTCATGTTTTGAGGTGAATGTGTGGATCCTGTACTTAGCGATCAGATTCTAGTCTACGTCTTGGAATATATGACCCAAATAAGAATTTTCACCAGATATCATCTGAACAATAAGTAACAAGTCTGCCTCGTTTGTTCTGACCAACTGAGGAAAAAAGCATTACAATAAATCACGCTACAATGGTGATTAAATCTAACGATCGGTTAGCTCATATCACATCAAACCAGATGCACATTTAAAACTGGAATATAATTGAATTTCAGTCACGTGTTTCATAAACACATAATCCTTTCTTGATTACAATCCTCCATCAAAATGATAAGTTTAATTATTGCAGCTGTGAGAAAAGGCTATAAACGATCCTCCACCTGCAGGATCCTCAGTGTTTCATAAACACATAATCCTTTCTTGATTACAATCCTCCATCAAAATGATAAGTTTAATTATTGCAGCTGTGAGAAAAGGCTATAAACGATCCTCCACCTGCAGGATCCTCACATGCGATATAGTCTATTAGCCGGGAAAACTTCTTTATGTTTACAGCCGTGCATAATTTTACGTCATTTTTAACCAAAAAAAAGTTTCGGACTGTATCTTTAAAAATTATATGGAAACAGATTTTTTTTTTTTTTTATCTAATTCAAAATATTAACAAAATGATGATAGCAAATCAATGATACTTAAATAACACTGCTATGTACACAATAATTATAATGTATCTTATGCTTAATTTTTATGTAAGTGTAAAGTAGTAAAAACTGACTCATATAAAGTGGGTCCTATTTTTATTTTTAAATCGATTGTGCAACATCTTTCATATAAGAAATAAAAAGCTGGCATATAGAAAAATGAAAAGTACCATAGCAAAATAAAATAAGAAGCAATAAGAAAAAAGTAACCTAAAGCAACTAACCATAGCATGTTTGAAGGGTGCGCTTGCAGTGCTTCTCAGTGAAACACGCTCATGATCATATCTAGTATTTCTCAGATGCTGGTAATGGATGGAGGTCTTACCCAGTTTGATCTCAGCATTCTCCGTCAGCAGCACGTTTTGTCCTTTAATATCTCGATGAATCACGTGATGTGAGTGCAGGTGTAACAGACCCTGAGAGAACAGCAGCAGACCACAGTTTACACACACAAACACTGGACAGAAATAAATAAATAAACAGCTGCATTTCATTACTTTTGCGCTTTTGATACTTTAAGCTTTGTCTTTCTTTTAATGATGTGCATGCCCTCATCAACTCAACAGTGAAATCAATGCCTATTTTAGCTGCTAAATTAAACATTATTAAACAGTGTTTTTTGCTGACGTATCATGCCCATGTCCTGCTTTCTTTGCTCATTCACCTCTTTCTGCTTTTCCTGCATGTTGTGAACAGGAATGATCATAACATTACCACTGTATTTCATAAATACAGGGTTCACATTTTCCATTTCCGACGTTATTTTACATTTTAGCACTATTAAGCTTTATATTTGGTATTTTTTAAAATAGTTTTTACATTGTTTTTCGCTAAGTGACTTTTGCATGCACACAAGAAACTTGTTTGTGCCCTTTGAGAAACTATTCACATAAGCATGGGAATTTTTTGCATGCTTACGCATTACAATTTCTGGTTTTATGTTACCTATTTCCTTTGTGCATCACTGCCATCTTACTATGAATCAAATGAGAGCATGGATGCACATGAATTAATAGAGATCAACTTGCTCAAAATGTGGCTTTCCTTATGGGAGTACCTCTAATATCAAGGCCTAATGTCCAATTTAGCTCATCCTCTGCAGCAGCAGAAAAACCATGACACGAAATGTGTGCATTGTACTTTGCCAAGTTCACGGGTCTATAAAAAAGACTGGAATTGTAAACAAAGTGTTCAAAATGTGGCTTTCGTTAGGGCAGTGTGTCATATTTCAAAGCCTTAGGTCTCTTTAATGCATAGCCAAGAAACCACACCGTTAAATGTTAGTACAACACATGGCTCGGTGCACACATAATAGTCTGTATATTTTTTTATTTTTGCAAAGGGTCCTCGAGGCCATGTCATACGGAGCTAAGAATATCGTGAGAACAAACCCAAAATGCAAAACATTTTGCATAATTAAAAAGTGCACCTTGAATTCATTCAGTCGTGTTTGACAGTCACTAAAGACACTGCTTATTCATTAGAATACAAGATCAAAAACAATGATAACAGCAACTATTTTATTTTTGTGGCAGGGCCAGTAGAAAAAAATCCTTAGCTTTGATCCCCGAAATCCCACATTTCTGCCACAACACCATGCTTTCAGTTAGTGTTACTACAGTAAATCCATGGTAAAGTTGGTGATTTGCGGATCATTGTGGCACGATGGTTGAGCATCAGTGTTGTTGAGAATGTCAGCGTTGGTCGTTAAACTGGTTTAACTCACAGAGACATCTGGGTTTGTGACAGAACTCACATGCAATAAAAGAGCACTCACAATGTGATCATTTAGTGTCAGTCTGGAGCTCTGCACAAGTCCAGAAAACACACACTCAGGGTCAGCGTACTGGTTCGGGTGAACTGTCCCTTTAAGATGACCAGACAGCTCATAACAGAAGTGAGCACAGCAGAAGCTGGAGGCTGGTCTTGTTGTGTTTCTCTCTCTCTCTCTCTCACTCACCCACAGCTGGTCATCCTGACCCGCAGGACTCTTCTTCACAAAAGCACCGTAGTACGTGGCTATGTTCCTGTGATGGGAGTGAGTCTTCAGCATGTTAATCTCCAGCTTGATTTCATCCTCCTCGTCCTGCAGAAGACACGTGTGTGAGATGCCACAGCACAGTTAAAGCAGATCAGTGAGCAGTGGTGCAAACTCATTTTCAGGGAGCGTTGCTAAAGGCAGGACAACGTGTTGCTTAAAAGCTGCTAAATGACGTTGTGATGTCACCGCGCGAAATGCAAGACTGCCCAGACTACACAATCAGATCCCTCGAATCTCAGCAAAAATATGATTGTGAATGTGATTTGAAGTGTTCATTTAGATTTGTTAGTAAAACTAAAAAAATAAATGTTGTGTGTTTTCTGGTGAGCTAGTGAAACTACTCATTCTGAACAATTATATTTGTAAGCAGTGTATTGGTAGTTAGTTAATACACCACACTTTAAGAAAGGTCTGTAAAACGGGACACAATGTACTGCGTTAATTTGAGATTTGTAAGTTTTTGTACTTGGATTTAAAATTGCGCACTGTATTTTGTGTTTTCAGGTTACAACTTAACAGATAATGTCCTGATAGAAAATTACCGTGTACCTTTTCCATTTTTATAGATATTTTTTAACTGATCAACAAGTGCAGGTACAAACTAACAAGGTGTTATTATTATTATTATTGAACAATTGCAACTAGCAGCTTAATCCACGTGATATGTGTACTGCTAGACTCCTTTGATTTCCTCTTCTTAGTGTAATTTAGAGGGAAAATATGTTTTTATCATTTGAGTCACAGTTGCTAAAAGTTGCCAAGTCAATTTTAAAAATAGCTACATTTGGTGCTTTTTGAAGAAAAAGTTGAAAAAGTTGCTAAATCTAGCAGCAGCATTGCTAAGTTGGCAGCACTGGAAGTGATGGTCAGGGAAAGTTAATGTGTTATCTCTCACGACAGACCCTGCCGAGGCTCTCCGAACACCTTCAGCACACTCTGATGAATACCACTGTTTTGCTCAGTGATCACAATGGTGAGTACTAATCTTCATCAGAATTATTGCACACGCAATCCTGAATCAAGATGACATCAACTCGTACACTCTTTATCTGACCTCATCTAGTTTCTTCTTGTATGGTGGCATGGAGGCATTAATATCCAGTGCACCAATATCACAAATGATTACGCTTAATTAATCAAAGGATGCAGAAATCGTGATTCCAGACGCACTGACTGATAGAGAAGAGTGTTATTATGCAGCAGTGTTAAGAGTGTGATGTGAGTGATGTTCAGATGAAGCTCATACCTCTGTCACGTCCATGACCTTGATGGCTGCCAGCTGTCCTGTTTTCACATGTCGACCCTGTCTCACACACACACACACACACACACACACACACACACACACACACACACACACACACACACATGCGCAAATCTCTGCTTTTGCTGTGACTTCAAAGCTGTATTTTCAGCATCATTACTCCAGTCACATGATCTTCAGAAATCATTCTGATATGCCGATTTGCTGCTCAACAAAACGATTTGTATTATGTAATTATATTATGATGTTGAAAACAGCTCAGTAGTATGTTTCAGGTTTCTTTGATGAACAAAGTTCAGAAGAACAGCATTTATCTGAAATAGAATCTTTTGTAACATTATAAATGTCTTTATCATCACTTTTGATCAATTTAGAGCATCCTTGCTAAATAAAAGTGTTAATTTCTATAATTTCTCTATGTGATGCTTTACCACACTGCAGTTTATACTTATATATGCGTCTGTCTGATGAGCTCGAGTGTGTGCAGGACTCAGAAACACAAGCCAAGCGATGCAACTACCGCAGAGACATGAACTCAGACATAAACTCGGTTTGACCATAAATCCTGATCAAATTTCCCTCGCTTAGTATTACCGTTTCATATTTTAATGATCATTAAATCCGTATCGGATTACCGCGATTCGAACAACTGAGGATAAATGAATACAGTCCAGCATACAGCAGGGTTTTACAGGTGCACACAGCAGCAGAGTAGTTTGGATTTGTGTGAAAACGGTGGAAAAGCTGGGAGGGTTTAAAGAGTGCTGAGGGAATTATACAAATGAATATATGAATGAATTAACTATATGAATGCACCTCTGAAGATTCAATGGCATTTTGTTTTCCCCTTCGCTCCATGTAGCACCTAATAAACTAGTGTTGTTTACGGTAAACCGCTGTAATTCTGCTGCTCCATCAGCGCCCCCTGCTGTCAGAGAGTGGAGCTACAGAGACTCATTCACATTCAGTCTGTGTGCAGCTTCTGTCTGGACATAAAACAGACCGGATTTACAAGCTCTGCTGTCATTTATGTGGATTCTACACATTTAAACAATTCAGATGAACTTTATGAATTATTATTTTAGGTTCAAGTGTGTGCAAGGAACTGGAAGCAAGTAGAGTATGACTGTTTCTGAAGCATGCAGCGCCATCTGCTGTTCAAAGCTAAGCTCAGAATCCATTCCACAGAGAATCACGATGCATTCGGAAAATCTCAGATTTCTCGATTTGCAATGCATCGATTTATTGTCGCAGCCCTAAACACAATAGTGTCATTATTCAATTCAATTGAGTTTAAGTTTTGTTTTCATCAAATAGTGTCAGTGGCATTAAATGTAATGATGTTATTGAATGTTAAGTGTCTACTGCCACAGCTCCAGCAGGACACTGGTGTGCATGTGTCTGACCAAAGCAGGGTGTCATGAGGGCCTGAGGTCCTGTAATGAGACCTGTGCTCACTTCAAAAACTCCTGGGTTGCTTTTGCTGTATGTTTTGGGTCATTGTCCATTCGTACTATATGAAGCGCCTCTCAATCAGCTTTGCTGCGTTTGGTTGAATCTGGGCAGAGAGTATATCTCTACACACTTCAGAGTTCATCCGTCTGCTTCTGTCTTCTGTCTCATCATCACTAAACACCAGTGACCCAGAGCCACTGAAGCCATGCAGCTCATGCATCACACTGCTCCATGCTTCACAGATGATGTGTGTGCTCTGATCATGAGCTGTTCCAAGCCTTCTCCAGACATTTCTTCCCATCGTTCTGGTGCAGGTTGATCTTAATTTCAGCCGTCTAAAGAATGCTTTCCAGAAGTGCTCTGGCTTTTTTAGATGTTTTTGGCAAAGTCTAATCTGGCCTTGTTTGCAGCTTGTGATGAAGCCTCTGTGTTTGCTCTGGTGAAGCCTTCTCGTGATCGTAGACTTTGACAGAGACTCGTCTGCCTCCTGGAGAGTGTTCTTCTCTGGGCTGGATGTTGTGAAAGGGTTTTTCTTTACCATGGAGAGGATTCTCCGATCATTTAGCACTGTTGTCCTCCGTGAACGTCCAGGTCTTTTTATGTTTCTGAGCTCACCAGTGTGTTCTTGTTTTCTCAGAATGTACCAAACTGTTGATTCGGCCGCTCCTGATGTTCCCGCTATCTCTCTGATGGATCTGTTTTGTCTCTGAAGCCTAACAATCGTCTGTTTCACGTGTATGGAGAAATCTTTGACCGCATGATGTGGTTCACAGCAACGGCTTCCAAATGCAAATGGCACACTTAGAATCAACTCCAGACCTTTTAACTGCTTAATTGATGTAGAAATAACGAAGGAATAGCCCACATCTGTCCATGAAACAGCTTTTGAGTCAACTGTCCAATTACTTATGGTCCCTTGAAAAGGGGGGAGTTACATATTAAAGAGCATAATTAAAGCTCAGAGTGTGCACTTTAAGCCTGTATTCATTATATAACTGTAACTTGAATATGTTTTGGTCAACAGCTAAAATAATAACAATTGTGCCTGAATTTATTCATTGTGTGATGCATTTATCCATCAAATGTGTTTCCATCTCCCATTATTAGCATTAACCCCTTTTCGCACAAGTCAAAAACCACCTCAAGTGAGCGTAAAAACTTTTTTGCGACTTAAGAGGTTTTTGTTTTAAATTTGGTGCTTCCATCACTCGTTTCTGATGTCATACTTCAATATGCGCATAAAAACAGGGTGATGGAAACATAGCTTTTGATGCCACTGACTGACCCGCACGTTCCCCAGATCTGAAATCAATGGAGATCCTCTGGGACGTTACGTATCGGAGCATCTGAAGCACCACAGACTGCCCAGGAGCTCACTGATGATCCAGGTCTGGCAGGAGATCCTCCAAGACATGCATCATCTCACCAGGAGCATGCATAGATGTTTACAGTCATGTGGAGGCCAAAAACACTACTGACTCAGTTTTTGCTTTGATTTTTGTGTGATTTTAAATCTGGCCTTCAGTAGGTTGATGACTTTGGTTTGCATTGACCATTTTCACATCATTTTGTTCTCAATGAATTACACAATGTATATAAGTAAAGATATTTCATTCATTGAGATTCATTGATTTAAGTGTTTTTTTAGCAGTGTTATATGAGGCTTTCCACTTAAAGAGACTGTTCATTCAAAAACGTCATGGTTAATTCACGCTCACATTGTTTCAAACCTGTATGACCTTCTTTCTTCTGCTGAACACAAAAGATATTTTGAAGAATTAATCCATTTTGGTGACCACTGATGTCTATTGTATGGACAAAAAAAATCTTCTTTTATATCAAGCAGAAGAAAGTAAGTCCTACAGGTTTGGAGGAGCATTAATAATGCCTGAATCAACATTTTTGGGTGAACTATGGCTTTAAGACGCTGATGATCAGACTGCACTCGTTCTTCATGCTGTAATGCGTTTCGCTGGAAATGGGTCAGCACAGGACGACTGAAAGCCAACCATGATGCTATTGACTGGATGAGCGCGTGTTTGTAAATCACGGCTCAGACACACACACTTCAGCAAACATCAAGAGAGGGAACGGCCTCTTTAACACGCGTTTACATGAGCGCACAATGACATCATCCCACCAAACGCCATGCTTTCAAGAGGAGCTCCAAGAAGAGCGCTCTGGAGCGAGTACATGCAGCTCAACAGCCTGTCTCCTCATCATGAGTGCTGTTTCCCGGGGCTCATCATGCACAGTGGAAGAGCGAATGAGTTGTGAATCTGGCAGGTTTCAGATGGTATTTCTGTCGGAGGGGATTTCCTCGTGTTCGCCAGGATGCCTGCGAAGCGCCACATTGTAGCAAACGACTGGGACATAAACAGGAAGTGCTGTCTAAAAACAGTGACAAGGGGATTATACTTCAGACAAAGCAGTTCTCTGAAAAATCCTTTAAAAGATTGTTGAAAAGCTGTGGAAATTGATGCACATTAGATCTCAGAAGCAAAGGACTGTTTTATTGTGTTTTACCAGTGACTGAATTGACTGAAGGAAGAAATAAAAACAGTGTGTTGTCATCCTAAAACCAGAAGATGGTTAATTTTTTTGACTAAATGCTGCCTGCAGTGGATATACATATTGAGGTGGATTAAAACAAATATCAAAAACAAATGGATGGTGCTGAAGCAAATTTGAAAGGGGTCATGGCATGGATTTTTAATTATTTTAATATGTTCCTTGAGGTTTACTTATAATGTTAATAAAGTTTTATGCACAAAAAATAAATAAATAAATATGTGGAAAAAATTATTATTTTCAACCCATATTCCCTGTCTTTAGGGGCGTGTCTTTTAAGGCTCGTCGGTAATCAGCCGCTGTTGTAATTGGCTAACATCACTGCATAGGAAACAGTGCTTTGACAACATAATCAAAATAAAACGGTCATTTCCAGACGAAGCATTATGAAATCATTTACTTACGGTTTGTGATGCAGCTGCAGTCAGATCTACTGCTTCATCTTTCAACAAATGATTCTTTGTGACTCTACATGACACTGTGCCTCAATTACAAAACAAAATGCTCAGATCCGGGACGCCATTAAAAATAAACTATCCACTTGTTCCTTATGCTGGGATCCTTCTGATATCTGTACAAAGACGTGAACGAGCTGCTTAAAAACCAAACGCGTCAAAGCGAACTTTCGGTCACACTTTATATTAAGTGGCCTTAACTACTATGTACTTACATCAAAAAATAAGTACAATGTACTTATTGTGGTCATATTGTATTGCAAAACACGTTTGCTGCTATTGATGTGGATATGGGTAAGGTTAGGGACAGGTTTGGTGGTTTGGGTAGGTTTAAGGGTGGGTTAAGGTGTAAGAAGATGGGTCATCAGTGTAATTATAAATGTAATTACAGAAATTAATTACATGCAGGTATTTTTAAAATATAAGTACAGTGTAAAAACATGTATGTACACAATAAGTGCATTGTATCAAATGATTCATTTAAATGTAAGTACTAGGGGTGCTCCGACTGATCGGCTACCGATCACTATCGGCCGATAATCGCTTTGGGATGATTGA